CACCCACCCACACCCACACACACATATATACACACACACACAGACCTAAGTATGTCTGTATGGTGTGTATAATAAAGAGTATTCTTGACACACACTAAATACCTTCCTTTTTTCTTAAACATACCTTAATCCCTGATCAACTTGGGTGTTGTTTGCAATATTTGTTGAAGCACAGCCAAGGGTTTCCTAGAAGAGAAGAGGAAAACATGCAATAAAAAATTGTCAATGCATAACATGGAAAAGTCTCACAAGCTTACATCCTATACATCAATAACATTCATAAATTTTCACAAGAGATTAACTATGGCAAAACTATATTAATAATTAGAATGCCCCTTTGTGCAAAAATTGGTATCAACCAATGTTTATTTGAATGCCATTAGCAACTGAGGCTTTGTCTTCCTTTCAAATCTAAGTAGAGCTTGACTATTGTCACTTTTCAATATGTGCACTTTCAAGGTAAAAATTTCCTTTAAATCACATGTCTATCAAAACTTGAACTGAGTTTCTAACAGACAACAACATAAGCTATCTACTGACAAATCGCAAGGTTTTGATATTCTGACAATATAAAGTTGAAATTATGGCACATAACTAGTTTATGATATTAAGACATACATAGTCTATTCTACAGAAGCATAACTGCAGGATTAAAAAATTCAGGCCAACTAAGCCTTGTTTACATTTGTTGGCTGATCATTAGCCCTTTAATTTTTCCTTTACCTACAGTGAAACTTGCTTACAACAGGCTTTAGTATTTATAGATTTGATGACAATATTGATGACCCTGATAGAATAGCAAGGGGGGGGATGATCATGATGATGATGATAACTCATACTAGCTTTCGTGCAAATAGCTTTGTCTGTCATGCTGAAATATCTGCATAAAGGACTGTTTTCAAAGTCCTTTCAAGGCATTTTCTGTGCTTTATGGTATTACTCACATGATGTGATGTCCTGATAGAATAGATAGTGGAATATCTTCATGACTGGCAGTTTTAAAAGTTCTTTTGTAATTTATTTTTTTACCCCATTCAAGTCATGTCACATGACATGACATCATCAGATACTAGCTCGAGGGCATGAGAGTTAACCTGATCAGCTACAGAAATACAGAAAAGGGTAAGCACAGGTCAAGGTAGTTATTAAACAGCTTGTTCTTTGCCATAGCATGTCTTGCCGGCTGGTTACCGTCTGTCCTTGAAGGTCTCAATCTTCTCTTGCTGTCCACTTCATCAGTTTTGAGGATGAGATCATGGATGACCTCCAGCCATTAAGTTAATGAATCCTCCTGATCCCTTTTGTATATGTTCCGCCATTCCCAGATGAGGGACGTGTTGGCAAAAATACAGATAATATGCCACTTGTGAAACCTCTGAGTTTTCTTCCTTTCTTTGATTTGTAAATAGCACCAACTGGCTCCTTTTGCATAGTTTTACCAGTGTTTACAAATGGATCATGTTTTTCTTTCGCATTCTTTCACAGGCCTTTAAACACCTGACATAGGGGATGACTCCAAATGGAAGAACAGCAATTCTGACAAAAGTTCCATCTTTGACTTTGAGTCACATATCAACCAAGACATGACACCTTGGTAGATTTTGATAAGTCACTCGCATGCTACACCAGGCGCAGATGGAACTGTAGCACTCTAGGTACCACTTTCTTCATCTAAAAAATGAGGGAGAACATCCCATGACACTTTGATTTCTTTGCCTCTCCTAGGGTCAAGGCTGACCATCTAGATATGGCTTCTTGTCCTGATGAGATTTTTAGCTTTTTCCTGACTAAGACATTGCTGCAAAAGATTGTCAGTGAGAAAAACTAGTAAAACATCTCACTTTCTGTTTCTTGTTTATTGGGATTAAAATGTTTAATTACAAAGTCTCGTATTCATCGTCTTCCAAACACATTTTTTACAATGTCCATTCTCTTTCATTTGCAGGTATGCTTCCCAGCAACCCCAAACACACTATCTACATTACAAGATGGGAGAACACCTCTGTGAAAAAGCTACAGTTCTACCTGGGGCTGCTTTTATAGATGAGTTTAAGCCCAAGCCCAACATGCACAAATATTGGTGTCACAACCCTTTGATGGCAATGGGATTGGTTTGATGCCATCTCAGCAACACTCCACTTCAGCAGCAATTATGCAGAGCACCCTGCAAGTAATTGGCTTTGAAAGTCATGACCAGTCCCTGATATCCTGGATGAATAGTTTCAATCTGTCTTCAACCCCAACAAGAACAATACCATGGATAAAAGCCTGTTGGCCTTCTAGTAAAGTAGCAAAGCACAATTTGAATGTATACAATCTGTTATAGAGATGAAATAGAGGCTGGGTACAACACTGGCTTCAAGATGTACATGGGTTAGGACCATAGGGATTTTCCTGTAAGCATGAAGGTAGTAGTCACCCTCATGTAGAAGCTTAACCTTCTGGACAAGGGATGCGGTCGCCATACCAACAACTGGTATTTCTACCCATCTGTATTTCATTCCCTGCAGGCTCACTAGACCAATGCTATTGGCACAATGCAGTGTAACGAAAAGTCCATGTCAAAAGACTTGCAGGTGGAGGGGAGAGGCAATCTACTGTAGATCATCGCAGCATCTTGACAGGCATAATGGCATTGTAAAGGATAGGCAAGCAGCCAGTGACAATGATGTCAACAGTGCACAAAAGCCATGGTCAAACTGCTACCTAACAGCTAAGGGATTAAGAGGAGAAAACCAAAACTTGTAGTTGACTTCAATGTTTGGAAGAAGGGGTGGACATGCTACATGGAGAATCATCCATTCCTATTCCATCCCCCTCTCCTGCTGCACCTGGTGATGAGGTCCTTATTCACATGCCAGAAGACATTCCTTCCCATTGGTGAAGGTGGTGTGCTCATTGCAAAATGGGCAAATAAAGGGTATGCACTGTCTTTTTTTTGTATGCAGTTCCTTGCTTCAAGGAGTACCACCCTCAAGGTGCTTTTTGAGGATGTGTACATCCTAAATAATGTATTTTTGTAAATATATCCCTTATTCTTACCAAAATAAAACGAAAATAATAATATTTGGTAATTTTGCCCTACTGTGAAACCACATTACTGCCTTGATACAATAATCGCGCACACACATACATTAAAATGGCAATATAAGACAATAATGTCCTTCATAACACACATGATATGGCTACACATATGATATGGCTAAGACAAGCTTCTAAACATAATCATATATTAAAAAACTTGGATGGCCACACACAGCAAACATCTCGCTGGGGAATGATGGCTACTCTTAGTGTTCCCTGCACTGAGTACTAAACAGCAAATTCTGATCTCAGTGCCATTGGGTCGTGTTTACACAAAAAAGGTTCCACAAGTACCAGTAAATCAATGCCTCGTCATACCTGATCTCACATGTTTACACTTTTCCTTGATTTTTGTTAGGATCATAAAAATAGTGCTATTAGTATTTGAAAAAAATTATAAGCATAACCCACTGGTACACTTTGAAGGCGAAAATAATGGTTTCTGGACGGCTTCAAAATCGATGCGTGGGCTAGGCCAGGAACCTGCCAGCACATCGCCCGCCACGGGCGACAAAATCAGAACGCAAGTTCTGATCTAGCATCGCACTGGTGGGATGCCTGGCAATGTTTATTTCTACTTTTCTAAAGTAGGTTAATACCAATAATATCAACAGTATCATTATTAAAAGCCCTAGGAAAAAATATCATTACAGAAAATTCAAGGAAGAGGGAAATTAGGTGAGGTCATGTATGGACTACCAATTGACTCCATGGTGGCAGAACACGTCAAGTCCATATGTATACAATAAAATTAACACAAAAAAATACAGTGCATAGTACAGGTACTTGCAGCCAATGGTGAAAGGATATGTTAACACATATCAGGAAATGGTGTTCCATAAGGGGGACATTTCTATGACTTACAAAATACTGTCCAAACAATAGCAGTCCTATTTATAAAGCTGGCAGACTTGGCTCAGTCAAATATAAACTAGAATTTGTGGGGAACCATTTGGATGACTGAAAATAAGTGCACGCACACACACATGCGCACACATACACACACACACAGGATGAGGAAGACAAAATTTAGTCTTATCTTTTTTTTTTTTTTAATCCTGAACCTACTAGCTGATTAGCTTAACCCCTTGGACCCAGATGACGTAGGAGTCACGTCAAGGAAAAACTTGGGCAACTGCCCAGGTGAAATGCACATGCCATCAACCAGGCAAATGGACCGCAGTCCAGGTGATGCAAACTGCTGTCAAGAGTGAAGGCAAAGGTGACAGAAGAGACTCGCCACGAGTGCACAAACCTCTTGGAGTGTGATTTGACTCATTTGGCACTTAGAAGGGGCTTTAGCATTATTCCCATCGATAAACGAATGTGGAATGTAATGTGCGTAAGAAGTGACTTGAAGAGCGCCGGTTCCAGGGAGGACACCATTTCCATGCTGCACATCGCATTCCTGGCCGCTGTGACTGGCAGCACAGGTTCTATTACGTAAAATTGAAAATTACAAAAAAATGAGGCATATGACACACATGACCAAATGTTCCATATATTTCTTTTCTTGCACTGAGCTATTTACTACATAGAGATATGATAAGGAGTCTGTGCAGGGAATATAAGCAAATCAAAAGACAAATATGTACATTGGAAAACGGCGATAAAGCTAAAAAAGTTTACGCAAAATAACTTTTCAAAGGGGACACAGAGTCTTGTCACAGCTCATGGGTGTTTGTGCGCACCCGGCCTACGCACCGCACAATCGGGATGCTGGCCACTAAGTAACCCATTGCCTGGGGTTTTCAGCTCCGTGATTTCCGTCATGTAACCGGATCCAAGGGGTTAAAAGACCACAAATGACAGACAAACCATTAGTGCATCCTTCATCTGCCAGTAGTGATGCTTGATGCGACTTATGCTGTCCTTCTGCTCCTGTTGCTGATTTGCCTGTTGCTGCTGCTGCTGTTGTTGCTGTTGAGTCTGTTGCTGTTGCTGATGCTGCTCTTGAGCTTGTTGGCTTTGCTGCATGCCCTGCTGCGGACCTGTTGAGACATTAAAACAAGTCAGCACCTAAATATCTTTGTGCAATATTTGCAAGACAAAAGATTTGTGTGAAGTTATACCATGCCAAGTCTAGGGATTGACAATACATATGTAGCTGTTACCTCTAACAAAAGGACGTCAACACAAGTGGGCATTTGGTAATTTTGAGAAATATGGAAAAAAAGGCTTATTGCATGATTCAACCAGTGCATATGAGGCTTGTACCAATTAACCCATCAGCGACGGGTAAAAATTTTGTCATGGCTATCGTAGTTTGTGATATAGCACCTAAAAGCTTTTATTTTGCTAAAATCCTTCACTTTAGGTATTGCCTAAAATCTTTACCATATAAATGAAGCCGCTACTAGTTTAGCGTGGGAATGGGCATGGCATGATTTTGGTCCACAACAGCCATGGCATGTACGTACGTGAGGCCCAAATGGGTTAAGGGTAGCTATACAGATAACCTTAGCACTAATCAATGTACTTTCAGCAACTACCCACACCTCTAACAGTAGTAATTACTTCACGCTTTATAACTGTGACTAGTACAGTATTAAATGGAATACATTTTGAACAGAAACTCCTTTTTTTTTTGAAGATCAAGATTTAAGATCCAATAACGGTTTCACTAAAATCAAATATAAAATGGTAAAAAAAATATGAAAAGGGTACAGAAATTGTAAAAATATATATCTCTCTTATCAGACAACTGTCTGAATATAGGAAAATCCTGCATTTTGTTATTAAAGTCAAGATAAAATTCAGTTACTGCAATGGTTAATGGTTAATGGCTGAAAATAAGACATCTTATGTCATATGCCACTATGGTAAAGTATTGCATCAAAAAGTGTAAAATTAGTTAACAATCAGAATAAAGTTTTAAATGTCAAAGTTTATAGTGCGTTATAGGATAGTATGATAGGGAAAAGGGTAAAGATGAGGTGCAAATGAAGTAAATCGGAGATCAGTAAAGGAAAGGGTTAACCCATTTACGGCAGGTGTCACACATATGTGACACCCGGAAAAATAAACATTGCTGGGTATCCCGCCAATACGACGCTAGGTCAGAGCTTGCGCTCCGATTTTGTTGCCTGTGACACGTGCGGGCAGATTGCGGGCCAGCCCTGCGCGCCGATTTTGAAGCTGCCTGGAAACCATTATTTTCAGGTTCAAAATGTACCCAAGTAGTGGGTTAAGTTCATTATCAGGTTCAAAGTAGTGAAGTTCACTGAGCGATTGGATGAAATGGAGTGTATCTCTAGGTGGGGAAGCTATAGGAACATTGCTTAAGGAAAACTGACAAAAGAGCTACTATGAAAATGGGTAGAGATGGCTAATGGAGAAGTAGGAGGAGAAGAATCTGGGGGATGAGAAGAAGGTGGTGAAGTATCAGGGAGAGTGACAGAAGGGGAGAAATCAAGAGAAGGACACTGTTGTGACAGAAGGGATTCATGTGAGTATCCAGGTCAGAGAGGTAAGAATAACAGAGAACAAAGAGGGAATAGTGAAAATGAAGGAGAGGATTGGGTGTGTTGGGAGAGTGTGGGAGAAAGAGGGAAGGAACTTGAGAGGGAGGAGGATGGATATCGGCAAATACTTTGAATGTAGAGAGAATAGAGGGATTGGAGGGTGGATGAGGGTTTGGAAAATTTTCTTGGGTCACACCTAAGAATTTTTTGATATCATAAAGAGTTTGTGGAGGGCAGTTAAGTAACAGGTCTGAGAAACAAAGGTTCTCTTATGAGGAGGAGAAGAGGGTATAGATATGTGAGGAGCAGAGGGGGCGGAGGGTGTAAGAGAGGATGTGGAAGGCGAAGATGGAGTGGAACATTCAGGTTGTCTGGTGCGAGGAGGGGTAGGCGTCAGAGAAGTGGCTGAAACTAGAGTATCTGGATTTAGACTGGAATTTGATTGGGAGAGAGGGGGAGTAGAGGTTCAGGCTAGAAGGAAGAGATACTGGGGGAGATGCAGAGACATCTTGAGAAGATGGGGGGGTTATAACTCTTGACTCGTACAGTATAAAATGGAACGCATTTTGAATGGAAACTCTCCTCTTTCAGTTGAAGATCAAGATTTAAGATCAAATAAAGGTTGTACTAAAATAAAATGTAAAATCGGAAAAGATACAAAAAAGGATATAAAAATTATAAAAATATATGTCTCTTAACAGAAAATTGTCTGAATATATGAAAACCCTTTTTTTGTGATTTCAGCCAAGAGAAAATTCTGTTCCTGCAAGATCTTCATGGTAATTCCTAGGAAGCTCAAGTTTAATCATTTTTGACAGTCTGCTGAAACTTGCATGGCAGTGTGCAAAAGACTAAGAGTTATCAACTTTAACCCTTTGCTGACAGGAACATGTAATATCCACTGTAGTTTTGCTTTGGAAAATGTGTTTACCGACACATGGCTCCACAAGAGCTCAGTCACCAAGGAGTCAATTTGCAAGCCTAAGTGGTCTTATCTGACCTCCCCTTTTCATGAGTTTTTAGAAAAATGTAAAAATGCAGATGATAATACGAAGTAAAAAAGAATATTTCTAAGGATCAAGGAAAACACTGCTAATTCTTTACAGTACAGATGCAACTAAACTTCATATAATTTCTTAAACCCCTTAAAAAACATAATCTACCTTGAATATTTATTTCTATAATTATTCATATATTTCTACCGAATAAGGATGTATTTTCTTACTTATGTCTGTCATTGTACATGGCCTACTGGCTTCAGTGGGATAAAAAATAACAGCTTTTTGTTTTTTTTACAGATCCCAAACTGTGAGAACTGCTTGATTTGTATCATAAGAAAACTAGGTTATCATGTTCTGGTAATTTTCAGGAATAGGTCTGCCAAACTGATTGCAACAATTTTGGTAGCAATGGATTCCTCTCGCCCACTGCAGGCAAATATGCTGATTTTATTGTATGGTAACCCCCCATTAGTGTGAAGCTTGGCCCCTACAGCAGGGGAGGGCATGGAAGGTACCAGGGAGATTGTGGGTTAAAATATGAATAATATACACAGAATCAGTCACTATACTGTCTAATGCGGGAGCTGTGCCCGTGACCCTCTCATGGGAGGCTGCCATCCCCAACCCCCACAATGGAACACAATGAATCCTCCACATATTCAGAGCAGGAGAGAGTATATGACTGACACTTGGGAGCATCTAATGGTGAGTCTGTCCGATGCTCTCTCCTGCTGTGAATACATGGAGGATTCTTTGGGTGGGGGTTGGGGGCAGTAACCCCCACATGGGGTGCATCACAGGGGGCACAGCCTATGCATTAAACAATAAGGTAATTGATTTTGTGTATATATCAAAAATTTGCCCCACAGGTTTCCTGGTACCTCTCATGCCCTCCCCTGCTATCAGGGCCAAGAATATGGGGGTTTAGGGTGGTTCTTTATATCTTAATAGTAGAGTGAGAGGAATCCATCAATACCAAAATTACCGTAATCCCTTTGGTGGAACTATTACAGAAAATCACCTATGTTCTTCCCCAAGTTAATGAGCTTGGATGTATTATAAGACGCTAAAGACATGAAACCTCTGAAAATATGGCAAAAGAACTTTAGGATATTTTGAAACTTGAAGGAGGATTTTTATCTATATGTCAACCAAAGCATAGAAACAATAAACAATACACATGCAATGATTAACAGATTCTACAGATTGTGGGCCAGCTTTTCCTTTGTGCTAGGATGGTTGGGAATGCAATCACTCGCAGCACCAGATCGGCTAGAATTCCTTAGCAATAGTTTAGCACTCGTGGCACCTTAGTCTATTGAGTCACTGAGTGCACAAAAATTGTGGATTTATAGAAATATTTTGAAATTTGGAAAGGGTGACTATTCACTATAAGAAACTGCAGTGATTCAATAAAAAAAACATTCATTTACATACCTTTGGAGAAACATTTTGTAAACCTACTTTGTATATTCTAACAGGATAGACTTTGGATTGATTCCTTATCTGGTGTTAAACATAAGATGCATGATTCAAATAAGCTATAATAAAGCTAATACAGTTTCCTAATGGTACCTCTTTCCAATTATTTTTTGCAAGTACAGCTGCACTAGAAATACTTGGTGTAATACACCAATGCAACATGAGTAAGATGTAAAGCTATTTTCAATTGTTCTTGTTTACAAATTCAACATCAATTTATTGACAGGGCATACTGAATACAACATACAACAATTATGTTCAAAATGTCATTTAATTCATCTAATCAAGAATTTATCTGATAATGTCAATATAACAAGATTATATCAGTAAGTATTTTAAAAAATTAAAATTATAATCAAAATAAAAATAAATAAAGTATTATATTAGTACTAAAAAAAAAAAAATAAAAATTATCAAATCAAAATTACTACTCAATCAAACTCACTCAAACTGAACACTTTGCTTTTACAACAAACATCAGCTCACTATAAAAGTGCTAATTCACTTTCACCAGTGGCTATTGTACCTTCGTTATATTATTAACTAATATACACTATGGGAGTGGCATGGGTATGTATTAGGATATATAGATAGATAGATTGTGTGTGTGTGTGTGTGTGTGTGTGTGTGTGTGTGTGTGTGTGTGTGTGTGTGTGTGTGTGTGTGTGTGTGTGTGTGTGTGTGTGTGTGTGTGTGTGTGTGTGTGTGTGTGTGTGTGTGTGTATGTGGTGTATGTAGTGTGCTGTGTAGTGTGTGTGTGTGTGTGAGTGTGTGTGTGTGTGTGTGTGTGTGTGTTGTGTGTGTGTGTGTGTGTGTGTGTGTGTAGTTGAGTGAGTGAGTGAGTGAGAGTGTGTGATGGCTGTGTGAGTGTAGTGTGTGTTGTGAGTGTGTAGTGTGTGTGTGTGTGTGTGTGTGTGGTGTGTGTGTGTGGAGTGTGTGTGTGTTGAAGTGAGTGAGTGAGTGAGTGAGTGAGTGAGTGAGTGAGTGAGTGAGTGAGTGAGTGAGTGGTGAGTGGTGAGTGAGTGAGTGAAGTGAGTGAGTGTGTGAGTGTGTGAGT